TGTTCTCTCATTCCCATCTTTCCAAGTTGGCCGCCCCCCTTCTTTTCTTGCCCCCCTCCCCCTACAACATGCAATACCATGCTGTACACAATGATGCTTCTTTGGTCACTTGTGTCCAATGATGGTCCCTCTCCTTCAGGGGTAGCGTCTTTGGCTTGGAGGGGTTTTTTACCATGGGGGTAAAATGCGTGGGATGAACAGAAAATGTATGCCATGGACCATGGTAAAGGAGGGGCGTGTGGAAAGAAAATCCAAATGAAAATGGTTCAAAACGGAACTGACCAGGCAGACTGTAGTATTATTGAGAAATGGCCGCAGCAGTCGCAGCAGTAGACAGCAGCAAGAATCCAGCAAGCTACGAGTGGCAGTGGTGCACCTGGCAGCCCGTTTCGGCAGAGACAAAGAATGTCGTTCGCAACCGCGATCGAGAAGTCTCTCTTTTTTTTTTTTTTTTTTTTTTGGCTGCTCGGCGCAATGGCCGTTGGGCAGCAGTGGTCTCTTTTTGCTGGCCCAGCTCGGGGGTGTGGATAACGGGGGTATGTTTTCTCGATGTTGCTTGACCGGAAATACACCAAGGTGAGGTTGTGCGATTCTTTTTTGGCCGTTTTGAGGTTTAGCAGTTCTTGATGCTCGTTTTCTGATTTTCACCGGCGGCGATATTTTCGTATCTGGCGTATACAAAGCGGATTTTGGCATCAATGTACTTGTCAAATCCGTTTTTTTTCTTGCAGCTTCTTGTCTCATAGTAGCATCTTTTTAGTCTGAGGGGCAACTGGGCTAACTTATACTTTGTCAAATAGTTCGAGGTCGTTGATTGGGACCCGCACGATGTGTTGTCACGGCTGGCGCACATAATGCCTCCATACAAATACAATTCACCACACCGCGCTACACTATACACGTACGTTCGCACATGTATACCTACATGATGCATATTAAACAGGCCGCCGCCATGGCCATGTTCAAGTTATTTCCTATTCGAGGCGTGGGAGCAATCAACAGTTGTCCGCCATCCGTCGCCTCCACTTACACAACGCTCGTGTCCAGAAGAACGACGACCACCGACCCATACCTTCGTACTCGACTTTGATACTTCTTTCAAAAGCGGGAATGACGTACATTGCATCTGTTAACTTTCATGGTGGGTATCACGGCTTCCAAAATTCCGTCTCGGATCCGCCCCGTATGGTCTATCGAGTCTCGTCGCCGAGATCTTCGTCGTTATTCCCCTGTCGACGATACGAACCTTGAAACGCATATACTGGCCTGCCGCCCGCCAGCTTGCATCTCGAGGCTGAGGCTGGCGGTCATCGGAGGATATCTGCTTGCCACGTTTATCGTAGCTTCGAAAATGTCCTCGCAGGGCCCAGGGGACCTTGCTCGACGCTTTACACTCCACTCTCAAGCGTTGGAGATGTTCGAATATGATACGACTTGCAAGGGGGCATGGAATAGAGAACATCAATCTCGTCTGGCTTCGGATATGAACGAACGCAGGGGGGAAAGAATGCTACGAAATTGGTGTGGGTGGACATGATGAGGTGTTGGCAGGAAAAAAACGAAGAGAACGCCTACTGTGTGCCTGAGCTGTCGAACTTCAGGTACGAGTTGGGATGACACATTCCTTCACTTATTCCTTGCATCATTGGGCGTTCATTTCAATGTTCGAGCTGCCCGTCTCTCAACTTCGTCCGGTCTGGTACATTAATTGGTCAGGCACGATTCCTTTATCCTATTGCAAAATCATTCCTCTTCCCCGTGGCTCAATGCCCTATTGTTGTTCTGCCCTGGCCTCTTGGCCGTTACAATCACAAATATAAGGCGGAATTTCTCCACTCTCAACGAGCTTTTCTTGTATGTATGTGTACGGATATGGTGCTGCAGAAGACTTGCAGATTTCATCTCCCGGGTAAAACCTTGAATAGCACCCTTGGGGGTTCTTCAAAGTAGGTGTTCCCGCTACGGGCTGCGACCTGCAAGTATTGGAGTGGCGGGGCAGTATTTAGCCTCCCGCTCAAGGTAAGGCTGTCTTCTGCCCGCTCTACTTGCGACCGTTGTGGGGTTTCCTATCTCATACGTGCTTTAATCCCTTGTTGCGGTTTTGTTTCTTGTTTCCTTGCCCACGGGCCATGGTTCGTCCCGCCCGCAAGAGATAACTGTCAGCTTGACGTGGAGGGTAGGGATATTTGGCCGTTTCCCCTTGAGGGGCCTTGGCAAAGGAGAGGAGGGTGGATGGTAGCCGGCATGAACCATCGAGCCATTGTCTATTTCCTGCGGCATTGCTTTTGGAACTATTGGCTCCCCCACACTACTGACATATGGATAGAGCATTATGGTGAAGGCCGTGTCTAAGGTCGGAAGGCAAGGGCTTCTCCACGGCGCCAGGATTGGTAGACCGAGAGCCGCTCCGCGAGACCATCTGGGCATTGCCTGCCGCTCAGAATGGAACGTCATCGAGGTGACATGGATGCAAGGTTGACATTTTCATCGTCACCTTCCTATCCCCTACCTCCTATCCCCTACTTCCATCGCCGCCGGTCTACTTGAGCCCAAACACGCCCGGGGACACTGACAAGTACACTTGGATACTTCAGACGAGACGCAATGATCAAGGCAGGAGAACTGCCATTGCAACCTCAGCGACCCTTGCAGCCACTCGGGCAGGGACAGGCAAAGAAACCCCGGACAAGGCCAGCTCAACATGCAGGCGACATCGATCTCAACATGTCAGGAAGAAAGCTTTGTCACTCAGGGCCAGACCTCTCTGAGCCGGATGCCCGTTTCCTGAGTCCATCAACCTGGTCATTGACGAATAATCGGTCGTCTCATCCACCCCTGTCTTATATGGTCTGCTTCTATGGAGGGGGGGGGGGCGTTGATTATGTCTCGCCTTATGATGTAGGTCTTATGCTACCACCCACTGGTGGGCTAAACCACTTCACCGGCCATGCGGGCTAATGACCGTCTAGGTGTACCGTCGAGGAGATTGAGAAAGTCCGCAGACCCATCCCCTCACATGAACTGTTTGGCTTGTCCAAATACGGACGGTCCGTTTGCTTTGTCAACTAGATGGCCTTGGGTTACGGCGGACCTTCGCGACGAGCAAGTTGAGAAACGTCCTGACGAAGGCCTTCGGGCGTTGGTTAGGGCCCTGGGCAGGACAACGTGGCGGCCGGCTGCTGGCCATGGCCGATGTTCCACACTGCATTGCGTTCGATCTGCATCAGAGCCCCAACGAAGGTGTATGTACCTAGACCCAAGCCACGTTGAAGGTATCTCCTGATGGAAGGCATTGTACTCACTCCCTCTTCTAGTTTTGGGCTGGCAATGTGCGTCGGTTGCCGATCAAAAATGCAGCATCACGGCTCCAGTCCGCCCCTTCACCTATTTCACCTTAGTGGGTGACGTGTGGCTTGCCGAGTCCACCGGACGAAGTTCCCCGGTGACACCTCATTCATCAAATGTAGCTCTTGTTACAGTCCGCAGGTAACAGTTAATCAGTGTTGACTCTCATTGGGATCTAACGGCACCATCTATTCGCTCAACCGAGCCTGTACCTTGACTAAGTCAATGACATGCTCGCGAGCGCTGTCAGCAACTGACACGGGCTACCCATGATTGGGTAAAGGTTACCAAAGAACCCGCGTTTGCAGTGGTTTGTCCAATCTACTCGAGCTGCCACAATCAAAACAAGGCTCCGGTCCTCTGTGCAGGTTGGAGGCAAGTCATCGAGTTTGATCGGGCTCTCTCGCACACAGCTTGGCACATATGACAGGTAAAAGTTGAGTGGTCGAGCGGGGCCGCGAACACCTCTCCCGACATTGACACACCTCCTGCAACTGTTCAGGGTTCACAAGTAGGGAGTCCCTTGTGAAAGATAGCGATGCGCTGTCAACTAGAAGACCGTTTATGGAAAGGCTTGCGTTGGTGTACGTCAAAAAGGCTCGAAAGACTACAGCGGAGAATGCCACCATCCCATAAATGCGGCCGTCATTTGACTGGGAACATTAGCTGAACGACCAGCCGCGCTACTCGAGACTGACCTGGTCACGACTGCCGCCGGCTAGGGCATCAAACTTTGTCAGGGGGAGGAGGGTGGCTGTAAAGAGGGGAGGCCAGAGATGCGGCCAGTCCATTTACGAGGCCAGGTGATCCGCGGTGGGCGCCGAGACGACTGTCGGTGAGGTTGTCGCTCTAGCACGGGCACGTCGTGAACCGTAGCCTTGAGGGGGAGCTGATGGGCAAACGGGACGGCCCGTTTGCCGTGGAAAGGATGTTGAGCACGTCCTCACCGCGGATATTCTAACGGTGGAAAGGCTCCCCAGACGAAGCGAGGTAGCACTGGAGAAACTCCACTAAGAGTGCTTTAAACTGTCTACCTATCATGAGCTGTTGGGGTGTTGCCACTAAGGAACACCTCTGGACCTTTTTTCTGACAGGATGAAGCTAAAGAAACACGCAGGATTAAGACCAATGATTATCCTGGACTTCCAGAAGACGCCTGCAGGCCACCCGAACTCTTGGGTTTTTGCGAATCATGCGCTGAAGAAACGATGCACCGTAATTGGGTACATGATTGGGTGCATTTGGCGAAAAGAGAAGACAAATAAAGGCCAATGACGGGCAGAAGAAACGCACGTCAGCACGCTACTCGTGGTTGCCACGAGACGGTAGGGTATGGATGTGTAGACAAGCTGAAAGCCTACCTTGGTGGAGAAGCTGTGATCAGCTGCATCGCGCTCTAGAACCAGCAATGACTCCGACATGGACTTCCACGGGATCCCTTGTCTGCTAGGCCTACTCCGTCGATGCTCGATTGAGGGACAACGGGAAAAGAGGGCAATCTGCCAGTGAATGAAACACCAAACGGGAACAGACGACGTTGAGACAAAGCAAGTATTTCGATGTGACCAGGATGCGCTTGACGTTGGCCGCCCAGAATAGACGCGTTTCCGTTGCAGCCGCAAGGAAGGCTGCCCAAGAGCGTGATTGGACGAGGCCAAATTCAAATTGGTTGGGCCGGGAAAACCGGCCGCACCACCACAACAGGAGCCAAAACCCTTTTGACAGTACGCGATGTGCTTCAATTGCCAGACTTCTCGAAAGACAGCACGATTCAAGCAGGGAGACAAGACCAGGACCAAAGATGCAGACGGATGGTGGCAGAATCTGGTGTCTGTGTCGTGGGAAAAGCCGCTTGGCCGTTGATTTCTGCCCGATGCCAATGCGAGTGCTCATCTGGCTCGTTCATGCCGTGTGACGGGGTGTGATTGATATCGTCCGATGCATTTTGAGCTCCGGTCGATTGATGGCAACGAAGACGTCGACAAGATTGCAGCCTCGTTCATCCAGGGGCTGCATACTGTACGCCGTTTGCTGTATGCTTTGACCGGTTCGTAAGGAGCCTGCCCTTGCAGATTTGATGGCGGTTCCCTGCGGCATGCAGCAGGTGGTACTATTATGCCCAGACTAGGTGCGCCAGGGTCTGCGTTGTCCATTGTCGTTGCAACTGGGAGAATGGCGGGAACCGGGGGTGGCTGCGGGCGTCCGTTGCGGGAGGTCATGGTCCAAGGGCACAGAATGGAGGGTCTTGACAGCAGTTCGTGGAGAATCCAGCTGTACAAGGGCAAGATGAAAGGCAGGTGAAGTAGCCAGGGCCAGGGTTCTTGCTCAGGCTGTGGCAGATATCAGTCGGTTGAAGCCCAAAGCTCGATGTGTGGAAGTAAGCTACCTTGGGAAGCATGGGCGGAAGGGAGTGTTTTTTGTTCGGATCGTTCTGTGTCTTGGGAAGGGTCATGAACAGGCGCAAGTGGTGCCGGCCCATTATGAGGCCAGGCCTAGGTTGTCCGTGAACAAGGCCTAGCCTTTAGGTATTCAGGGGTTCTTGGTAAGAAACCAGACCAGCACCGCTGGCGGCTCAAGGTAGGAAGAATGTGGGATGACAGTTTTTGCTTCCGACATGAAAGTGATTACCTAGTTGGACTCCAAGTTGAGACGCGTCGATCGGAATTGTCCAATTGACCAAGATATTTGTCCGGTGCGTGAACGGCAGGGCATTGGATTATGGCTTGAAGACGGGTGTTGATGTCGGACGTTGGAAGGCGAGGTGGAAAGCGCCGGTGGAAAGCGCAGACCCGGAGCAGCTTGAAAAGTGGGTCTCTCGGAGCAAGCAAGGGGTGTCACAGCCGACTGCATTCGATGCAGTCGGATGATGGCCATGAGTATGAGTGGTCATTGGTGGCGTTGGGTGACTGCCCCATTTCGGCTAGATCTCATGAGAGGAGGCACTTCCCGTGGCGACCGGGACGAGGAAATAGGTGGCCGAAATCTGCACGAGACAAGAGAGACGGGGAAGCTGAAAGCCCCTCCCGCGAGCTTCCTTTTTCCGTAGATCTCTGGGATCCCATGCCTGCCTCATGAAGGTGTCTGCGCAGTAGTGACTTTTCCCCATTTTTTCCTTGTTAGGTACCTTCAATTGTTCAAAGAGGAGATTTTGGACACTGAATTCCTCTTTCAGTACCGTGAAGTACCTCTACTCCACCTTATCTTGAGGCACACAGGCAGAAGCGACTGAGATATTTGGATCAAGTAAGGTAGAGAAGGTGTCTAGACATGATATTGAGATACATATCTAGCTAGGCCTGAAGAATACGTGGTGGCGGCGTTAGCGTCCGTTCCAATTCAACGCTGGTTGCTATTTTCAACGTCTTCTTTGTGGAAAATAAAGTGCCTTGCCTATGCAACGTGGAACGGACACAATGATTCAACGATTGAGGTGAGTGCATCGGTGATGTTGTGCTGGAAGAGTCGATGGTGGCTTGGGAAAGTGCGTGTTCGTTCCGGCGCTAGGCACAGTGCCAGCTCCTACCGTTTGATGAAGAAGCACTGCGAGCTCCTGCCGATTATGTATGGCATGGAGAGGCATCGATGCGTAAGGTACTGTGAATCGCACCTGTCGCAAGTACCCCTGTTCCTGGTTTCTGCCTGGACCGTGTGACGCAGCCTGGAACGATGGAGGCGCAAGCTGCAGATGCACCAATCTCATTCTCAAGGTGAAGGTGCATCATGCCCCGTTCCTTCCCCTCCACATTGTCACACTCCTTCCCAGTTCAATAACCGTCGTCAACACGTCTGCAGCCTCAGGATCAACCTCAAGCTCATGATTCAAGTTCCTGCCGAATGAAAGGTGCGCCTGTCACCTCCCGACATCGTCAATTTTTGTCATCGGCCTCACCACCTGGCCTCCCTGGCGTCCCTGGCCTCGACTTTGACCACGAACTGGTCCCCATCTCCTCGGCCCGCCAGCTCGCTTGTTCACTGTCTCTTCTCCGTATCCTACCTAACCGCCCGAGCACCCTATCCTCGGTGCCCCTCATCCGTCCCGATCATCCCTTCCTCGCGCCCTTGCTTCGCATTTCATCTTTGCCCGATGGCTCTTCCGATATTTGCCAGCATCGAATAGGACTGTCACCTTAGTCTTTAGTGGATTCGTTCATCATTCCGTCGCATCACATTTGAGCTGGAGTGCTCACGCTCCTCTCGTCACATCGACGACGAACCTAGTTCCGCGCCACAGATTTCCTCCAAGCGTTTAGCCTACCAGTCGCCGGCCAGGCCTCCAACAACCAGCCTCTTCACGGCACGCGCGCGCAAAGCGCAAAAACATCTGCCTACACGGCCTTTTTCTGTTTCATTTGACGCGCGCGATCTCTCCTCAAATCGTCTAATCTTCTCGACTTCAGCGCATCTTTCTCTGTTCCCAACCTACTATCCACCCAAGGTAACCAACCTACCGCGAGGCTTGCTGTGCCATGATCGCAGCATATCTGCTCATAGTATCATCTGAAGCACTTGGCTCTCTCTCGCGCTCCCTTATAGCGACCTCGTCGATCCCCGCGCCCCTACTCCCTTGCTCGCGCAACTTGTTTACGCAATTTCGTACTTGGCACCCACCCAGGCTCCGGACCGCACTCCGAGCCGAAGAATCCCGCTCCATTTATTACTCCGAAGTAACGGACAACTATTGACCACGATTAGACCTGAACAGCGACGCCAGTTGTACCAACTGTTCACGCAGCTCCACATCTTTGTCTCATGTGTGCTTTTGCTCTTCGAAGCCCAGAACAAGCCACTTGGTGTCATCACCATCTCGTCGCTTGCAGGCGACTGAGTCAGCCATGGACGCAATGCACGACGAGATGGCCCCAGATCAGCTCCTCTCTTCGACCCGCCAGCTTGCTATATCACATTCGTCTCCCGCATTGTCTGTACCCGCCGGCGATCATGCCCTGGGCTACGCCCTTCCCTCCTCTCAGCTCGACTCCACGTATGCGGCGGTCACTGATGCCCGACCTTACCCCCAAGCAGCGGATGGGGCTCGTGGCGATGATTACTGCTTGCATCAACACGAACAGTACTTTCTCGAGGCCTCGTCAGCGTCGTGTCTGGCGTTATTTCGGCCTCCATATCAGCCTACAGGCGCCATTGCAGAAATTCCAAACGAGATTATGCTGCACATCCTTGGCTATTTGGATGTGAATGACCTCTTGTCAACTTCGAGGGTAGGCGTTCCCCACGCACAAGTGACCGTCTACTTTCTTTTGCCTATGACCTCACTCGCTTCTTCCTACCTCGCGAAATTCCCACCTGTGCTTGCTGCCCCCTCTATCGACTGACCCCGTCGTTGCTGAACTCTGCTGATGACATAGACCAATCATCACCTGCGTCACTTGTCCCTCTCGCCTATTCTCCATCACTATCGGCTCCGTCACACGCGTGCCATCCTGCCGCCGTTGCTATCATCCCCTTCCCGCCCTTCTCTAGCGGAGCTCATCGCCCGCTCCATCTTCCTGACTCACACCTCGGTCGTCTCGCGCCGCCTTGCCCGCTCTCTGGTCTCCATCCGACTGTCCCGCCGTCTGGCCTCGCGGCCCTCAGCCGAAGCCCTTGTCGAGCGGGCTGTGCTTCCGCCGGAATGCGTCCCCGGCATGAGTTTGGTGCAAGTCGCGCCCGCTCTCGTTGCGAAGCGCCGCGCCATTGAAAAGGAGAAGGTCAAGGATGGCTTGAGGAAGTGGGTAGAGGGCGTGTGGAAGGGCGAGGTACGTCAGCGAGAAGAGGGCATCAAGAAGTGGGAGGAGACCAAGGGGGTGGGTAGGGTCTGGCGGCTCCGACGGTTCTGGGAACGTGTGTCGAGGGGCGACAGTGCCGGTCTCCGGTAGGCCAGCGAGGCACTCTGTACGACTCTGAAGTGAACTGGGCATCGGATTGGGCATTGAGTTGCGGCTCCGGGAGCCGCCAACGGCGTTACTGGGCAGGTATTACGATGTATTCATGATAACGTCGGTCGTAATGAGTCAAATGTGCACTAACAAGTAACCGTGAACCTTGCTGCCGTCTGTCTGTCTTCGCGCAAGGTGGAATTTTTTGCATGTCAACCATGGAAAACACACAATACGATATTCTGTCGTAGCTTGCGAAAAGTCGTAGATGTAATAATCGTAGGTAAGGTGTGTTAATGCTACAAGTAATCATGCTCCACCGTGCTCTGTTCTGCTACAAACCAGCCTAGCCAGCAAGTACCGGCCTCGACAAGTTTCCCCTTCTGAACCTTCGTCTTAAGTCGATCGTTTGCTCGTTTCAAGGATAAGAGCAATAATGCAAAGAATACCTGCGAGAACAGAAGCCCAGAAAGAACAAAGCGAGACATAGTAGATTGTACGGATTCGACTGTCGATTCTCTTTTGGAACACAAGATCAAAAAGACCGTCTTCGGGGGGATACGTAGTCTTGGGGGGTTTCTTTAGAAGTAAAGGAAATCCCTTGGTCAGCAAACTATTGATACAAGGCGCAAACGGAGGCAGGATTTTGCTCACTTCTGTAGAGGGTTTTGGAGACACAACGGGGTGGCGGTTACACTCGGGGCATTCGTGGCGAGGGCCGGCGCACTGTAGAATTCGAATGTCAGCGAGTGTATTCTGGAAGCCGTTGATGAATCTAGGGCCCCGCCGTTCAGCATACCTCGTCACAATAGACATGGCCGCAACCGAGGGGCTGGCAGAACGAGGCGCGGCATTGTCTGCATTGATGGGCGGGCGCTACACCAGGGGACGCTGAGCCTGATGCCGGAGTCGATGTCGGTGTCCTTGGCTCCGCCACGGCAGCCGGGACATTGGTGTCATTCGCAGAAGCAGTCATTGTGAGCTTTTGGTAGTCGTGGCCTAGCAATGGGTGATGCGTTTGGCTTCGCGGGTTATCTAGATGGAGCGACAAGTTGATAAACCGACAGACGACGGCGTTCGCGAGAAAAACAGCGCACTCAAAAGTATCTGTCTCAGTGGCGGCCGGCGCGAAAAAGAGAAGATTTGGAGAACGATGTCTAAAGTTGGCTGCTACCGGAAGAGATCAAGTACAGAGCTGTGTTGAGATGATTGATGCCATGAAGTTCGGAAATTGGGACATGAAGTTAGCACTCGAGGCTGGAACTTGTCAAACGTCATCCATGAGAGTCCAAAGATGGATGGCAGGAAAGAATATCTAGCAGAAGTACATGACGATGCTTGGCAACTTCTAAAACTGATATGAACTCAACCTGATATTTCTGCTTCATGGGCAGGTGCATACCTTCCTTGAGGGCCGTTGTGCTGTGTTGTTGACATGCCGCAGAAACTTGAAGCACTGGTACCTCAGTTCCAGAAGAATGCCCCTGAACCTTCGCACTTGCTTCCTAAGGACGAAAGCGCCACTGCCACTTCTGAAGGATAGCACCTTCCCAAGGAAAACCTGCCTCTGATGTCGTGGAAGGCAGTTACTCGTCGTGACAAAGCAGATTCAATACCCAAGGTACCTTAGGTATTCAATGACTCTCGAGGTTGTTGCTACCTAGGTACCTTCCACGTTCCAGATCTTGTCCGGTGATCATTTGCCGATGGAAGTTGGAGGGAAGTGGCCGTCACTCTCAATTTTCTTTTACAGAGCAGTTGAAAATACGTCAGTATCGCAGCCAGCCAAAATGGTGCCGAACATTCACCTGACATACTCGTCTTTAAGTTGCGGATAGCGTCGACGGATCATTGCGAGCATTTGGAGACCTACCAAACTTACTCCAAGGAACATGTAGTTGCCTTACTTCTCGTAGTGATCGAGCACTGAGCGCAGAAGGATTCGTGAACACCCTACAGGAGATCGCCGCCAGCGAGCGACTCACGCCGAACTTTGCGCGCCACAATGCCTGATCATGCCCAGGGCCACTTTCAGTCTCCCTAGCACAGCTATTCCAATATTTCATGCAGCGTCATATAATCAAGAAGCTGCATATTCCACGTTCTGTGGCCATTTGACGATACACTTTTCTAATATTTGACACGCCATGGTATCTATGCAGGAAAGCAGGACGGACAAACTAGCCCGAAGCATATGACTTTGCGACCTCTACGGGCCCATGAGGCACCCTAATTAGACATCTTAGGGACACAGATCGACTTTCTGTTATTTTCCTTACAATTTAGAAGCCCCTCAAGTCTTATGCTTCCATCTCCAAGTTTGCCAGGCGCTGAAGATCTTCTGCAACGTGAGTTCTCATCAGACCTCGAATCAACGTACACTGATTTCAGTACTTCTCCCGTATCGAAATGATCAATTGCATAGTCTGACTTGGTGTGGGAAACTACATATCCAACAACTTACTTTTGCGCCAGGGGGTTGAGAGCTGTGGCCTATAGGGGGTGTACCGTCGGGCTGCCATGCGCAGATAATGATATCGCCGAAATTATGCCCGTTGTTCTGCTTCCTTTTTCTGATTCTTCATCCGCTGCAGATATGTGAGATTGCCGAGAACGAAGTGCTTCAAGACGAGTCAGATATGCAGGACGGTAGCCCATTCGATCACTCCTGCGCGTGTACGGTCCACGGATCGAAATCACCTCGGACATAGCGGCAGTGTTCTGCATGCCTAATCTCCACGAGTACTCGACAAAAATACCCACCTAGGTACCATCTTCTGGGCACATTACGCAAGTCAGCTCTACAAAAAAACCCAAATAGAGGACCAGTCAAGATATTTCAGTAAATTCTGGAGCCTAGACAAACCTTGTTCAGTTCGACTATTGTCGTTTTGTTACCGGAAACAGTCCAGGATTGGGACTGTTCAGTTGACTATCTGGCCAAAGCTACTTTACCGGGGCCTAAACCACGGGATCACCGCTCACCCCCCGAAGCTGACCTACTTTATGCGTCCCCATGGTCAGTATGTGTCTGCGGTGGAAGGATGCTTCCGTCATGTCGTCAAGCCTTGAAGCCCGCTGCAGCATGTGCTCCCCATCTTCAAAACTATGCCAGTGACTTTGGCCAAAGTCTTCAGTCTCATAGTGTGTCTCAGAGGCTCAGCCTTGTAGCATACAACATCGTGCACATTTATGCTTAGCCATGCAGTGTTCTAGTTTGTCCGCATGGCAGTATGTATAATCGCCCTGGAGTCCCTCCCTCTTCAAGCTACAGAGATTCTGCGCCATGTGGGGACCTCGAATTTCTAGTTCATCACGGACTTTCTGTCCTTGTGATGAATCTCTGATATTTGCTCTTGAATGCAAGAATTTGTAATTTCATCGCAGGCTCCCTCGTAAATGTTATTGGGTAGCATGCAGTCGTCATGCCAACAACATGAAAGGATCAGGAATATTGAAGTTCATATTCAGCATTAAGAGAAATTTATATCCTAGTTGGCACACCAGGTAGCTCTCAGTCAAAGGCATGTTGATAGGTAAAAGAAAAACGAGATTATAAGGACCCTCGTGCCCCACGATATCTAGAGTGTCATGTTTTAGGCGCTAGACAGCCACAATTCGTCGAATAACCAGTCATTACTCCCACCACTATCCTCTTTGTAGAATCATTTTTTCTTAAAGAAAAGCATCATTCGATAGACAATCCGGATTTCTCGCGGGAACCGATTCCTTTGGGCCACGCCTAGGTCCGTAGTCTTGGGCGACCGTTTGATGTCTTATTTGGGATCCTAGTACTTGACTCACGTGAATGTAAATGTCTCATTAATTCTTCAGCACATATCTTAAATTTGCCAAGAATCATTGTATATACGGGCAACGATAATCTGGAGCCTGGAGATGCGCCTTGTGTAATCTCGAAGCGGCGCCGTCTCAGTAAGTAGGATGTCATAATGGGAAGCCACTCAGATTGTTCTCACAATAGGTAGAGTCAATAGCCACGGCTCACGACATTGCCTTGGCGAATGGGAGGAATAAGTGGCAGTCTCAAAAAAAATTATTTTTGAAGAAAAACGTATGTATTCCCAGTATCAGAAAATCAAAGGAAGCGGAGCGCCGTGTGAGATGTCCTAGGCTCCCCTATGCAACGCTACACAATAAATGCTAGACGCCAGAAAACTCCATCACCAAATCCTCTTTGCGACCATTTCGTACCGTTGAACTCCGTTATAGTCGCCTTGTTGTGGCCTCTCCGGTTTCTGAATCCTTCCCTTGCCCCCCTTTAGCCCCTCCTTGTCATCAGCATGGATCCATCTTCTTCGGTCCTCCGTGACCTCGATCTGACCGTAACCTCCAACTCTCTTCCCGGTAGCATCATAGACTTCGCGCTCTTCCTGACCAGTTGCCACCATGTGCTCCTTATGCTTCATCTTGGCGTACCTGTTTCGGGAGTATCGCAGCAGAACCATGCCTAGCAGCAGCTTGATGATCAGAAGGACCAAAAAGGCGATGAAGAAGACGACAATCATGGTCACCGCCGCTATCACGTCATCGCTGGTCCACGTCCACCATGCCCTGCTCTGGACGCTTGGCTCCCCGTAAGGGTAGCCGTAGACGGCCCGGCCTAAGGCGTCTCGAAGTAACGTATCGAGACGATCAAGTGCTGCCACCATTGCTGGCGACGACGGTGTCGCAGACTCGACAGAAAGAGACGTCTGCGTGGACTCTGCGATGGGCGTAGCTATACGCGTCGAGAGAAACATATGGTATGTTTGGACAGAGGCACGAATGAACAGGCACGACAGCGGAATGACAGCCAGACCAAGACGTCTAGTCAGCGAAGGAGAAACAAACGCCTGCAAGACCAATTAGTTGTCAGCAACGAGGAAGAAAAGCCTTCTCTGAGGCGGCTCACATTGGTGTAGTAGTCCTTGCACAGGATGTCGAGGATACGGCTGTAGAATGTTGGCTTGATGTTGTTGAACTTGTTCACGTAGGCGTGTTTGATTGTGTCAACCAGCATCTCACTGCCTATGACAATAAGGAAGGGGGACAACACCTCGCCGGACCAAACCCAAGACGGAAGAATCGTGAAGCTGAATGGTAGGATCGAAGGGCTGTGAAGAGGCATAGCGCCAGAACCTCCCAGGTCGCTGTTTTCGGACCCTGCCCCAGGTACGGAGAGCCCACCGACCTCCACAATATTGCGCATGCCGATGATGAACAGCATGATCCACAGTTGAAAGCGCTCTACGATGTCCGCACAAGTCAGCTGGAACAAGTTGTCCTTTTCAAATCTCTTGAACACTGTGCTCTTGATCTCAACGAATTGGTTAGAGATCATGAGAGTCAACAGAGCATTTGAATAGGAGTTGACAGCCACATTCAGCGTGATGACTTGGTAGTAGAGCGCCACAGAATGGATGACGTTGTAAATCAGTGCAAGTCCGAACATGCCCAACGGAAGAAGCACCTTGGATCGACCGGAGCTATTTCTAGACAATGTTTCGGAGCTGAAAAGACACTCAAAGATGTCCTGACCAAGCGCTGAAAGGAGACGATCCCCGACCTAGCTGAATTAGCGACAATTCGTCCAAGACTAAAAAGCAACTTACCTCGAGGACGTTGTAGATGACATAGAGTTTGATACCATCCTGTGCTCGAATGAAGTGATACATTCGACTAGCATCCAGCTTCATAAGGAACAGCGAGCTGAAAAGAATGACAGCGCCTTGCAAGAGATCTGCCTTGTGAAACGAAGACAGATTGGAGGGTATCGATTTCGTCCTACGATGTCGATGCACTCGAGAGGCTGAAGGGTGTGGTGGGTGATGGCTCGAGGGTCCATTTATCTTATGAGTGATATGTCCGTTCCCGTTCAATCTGACCTCGTGTTCGATGACCCCATTGCCGTTCGCCTTGGCGTCTGAGTCGACGTGAAGAGCTGGGATGTTGTCCGGGAATCTCATATCCGTGGCTGGGGTAGATGATCTGCGCCCCGGCGGCCGACTCTGGCTCCTGTCGCGGCTAACGAGGTGATCGTTGTCTCCTTTTTGAGCGGGCAACGCACTTCTCGCCCTGGGTCTCCGTGCTCTGGCCCATACTCTGCCCAACCCATACCAAACGAAACCGACCATGAACCGTGCCTCCTTGATAGCCATATAACCCCACCATCTGAACAATACCCCGAGGGCAATGGTAAATCTCATGGGCAGGATCGTAAAGTTGTAAAGCCAGGCATCAAGACATGCCAGAGCTCCGAAATAGAGCGTTCTCTCCAGAAATGTTGGCAGTAGTAGAACATTTTTGAGTCTTTCCCACTTGACAACATAGGACTCATAGGGTATATCGTTCGTGTGCGAGTGGTGTATGTACAAAGGGCTCGGTCGTTGGGCTGCGAGTTCCAACTGAAGGTGCGTAGGTATAGACATAGGCGGGAGGGGTATCGAAGGAGGGAGGGGCGACGGCGGGAAAGGATCATTTCGCTGTGACTTTGTTGGCGGCGGTACTTGGATCTGTGGTGGTGGTTGTTTGTTCAGACTTGTCGGCAGCGGGGTTATTGCGTTGAAGTGGCTGGTGGCATCAAGATTGAGAGGCGGTGGCCTGGCAACAGCGTAGAAGGAATTTCGGCGGGGCGAGGTGGTTTGTGACTGCGATTGTCGTCGATTCGTCGGAGGCGTCGAGAGCGTTCTGCCTGAGACAGGCCGCCTTTGCTCGTCTTGATATCGCGACCTATTACCGCCGTCCGTCACGGGGCCGTTTCGTCGCAGAGAGTCGGGCTGACTGAGTATCGACTGTCGAATTGCCTCGAGTTGGTCTGCGAGAGGAGAGCGGACCGGCTGCTCTTGGCCGCCAGGGGCTTGGTCGGGAACCACTGCGACAGGGAGAGCTTCGGGGGCGGTGAGTTGTTGTATCCCTGCGACAGATAATCTCCTAACGTTATCGTGGCTTTGATTCTTCTTCATGGATGCGGAGCTCGATCCGGCCCTGGCCCTTGACTTTGGTGCCACGTCGTCTTTATTTTCAGTTTCCTTCTTCTCGGCAGCGGTCGCAGGCTCGGACGTGGACGAAGAGTTGGACGAATCTTGCTTCTCGGGCTTGCTATGCGTGGATGAGGCATCGGAAGACTGCTCTTCATCGGAGTGGCCACCGGGAATGGTAGGGAGGGTCGAGGTAGGGGGTGCGCTCGCAGACACGTTTGGTAAGGGAGGGAGAGGTATGTGCGACACTTTGATATCGTTCTTGGCACTCAGAATGCCCTCGTCGTGTGCCGCATTTTCGGGAGCGAAAGTAGGCATAGGCGGGAATGCCTCGACCGGCTCTACGGGCAAGACAACGGGGTGTGCAGAAGTCTCGTCATGGTTGTCATCGTCGGCCCCTCGATCACGGTGGTGTTCGCTCGCCGCCATTCCCAAGCCCTTCACTGTCTTTGTTGGGTAGAAAGTATCGCCGCCATTCGCACACAGATATGGAGGCTGTGATTGGTATCGTGCAACGCAGAGGACTCTTCAGATTGGAGAATGGAACGAAACGAAATGCGCCAGGATTTTCTGGGCAAGTTTTGCGATAGCATCTGGCGTAGTGAGTGGTTCAAGCAATTAGCTCTGCAGTCTGCAGTTCTTCAGGTCGCGTGGGGGAATGTTGCCGAGCGGGCGATCTCCAGGAACGGCTGGATTGGTGACCGGACAGGGAAACCTGGCGGCACAGCACGGCAGAAGACAATGAGACCGCTGTGGGGACGCTAAATTGGGTCTCTGGACGCAGTGGTCCAGGGGACTCAGAGTGACGTACTGGGATGGGACGTGCGCTCGCTGCCGATCTGTGGTGAACTCTTGGAGTGGGAGGTGTGACTAAGCTGTCAGTGGTGGGGCGTGTTCACCGAAGAATTAGCATCATTCTCCGGGCAAGTTCCTCCAAAAAACAAGTCTCCATGTTTGTTATCACTCGGACTCTCTGTCAAGTTACCTGAATACCTTATATATGAAAAGCCATGAAATGCTCCCGAGACGATCTTCCACTGACCCAAGATCCCCCAATGCCTAAGAAATCGCAGATATTGTGTGTCTTCAGTAACATATATATATACATATATTTTCACATCGGTTCATCGCAGAAGGGACGCTTTTCACGACAAGAACATGATGTGTCTTGCTGGAACTCCTAGCAATTTAAGGGGCTATTCCTGTGACAATTCGTTGTCATGTTTCTCAAAGAGCCAAGGTAAGTGCTGTATAAGGTCCTGAGGCAAGGTAGGTTGCGATATTCGGGTTTACCCCCGGCAGCTCCAGATACCAAGTGTCGGGCCGCACACCGAGTCGGCAAATCACCTTGAGAAAGACAAGGGCGATTTCCCGACCATCGCACACACCACCCGCACCCGTCGGGTCCAAACCACTTTGCGCCGAGACCATTTACCGGGACTGTCCTGTGTCCATGGTAGCAGTGTATGATTCGGTGAGGTAAATTGGGAGCGGGCATCTTTGGAAATAGAAGGTAGGTAAGAAAAAAAGACCAAGTCAAAGGTACCAAGGGCGTTCCACCACCTTATTTCCGCTACTGCCGCCGCTCAGATTGCCGCTTCGGAACCGCACCGCTCGACTCCTTGGATTCTAAACCTCGAGGACTACCAAGACTAGGAGCACGACGAGAGGGCATTCGGTTTATGTCCAGCTAAAGACCGAGACACGGCAGCTCGGCGAAGTGGGGGCTGAGAGAGACCGGCACCGGTGCCCGAAAGAGTTTGTGTTTTCATCAGGGTGCCATTTTGTCTCATCGAGAGGGGGGGCACAGCGTCCGAGTTACCAGTCGAATCATCCTTTTGATGGATCGGAACGGATCACGGCCCACCCAAAGTCAGGAAAAGAGGTACGAATATAGGGCCGGCCTTGGCGAGTAGTCTCCGTTTTGGAGATCCAGTTGCTTGGGTGCTTGGTAATTCCTCACGTCAACGGGCCCAATGGAACTTGTCCAACCCCCCCCCCCCCTCGGCGCTGAACATCCGTGGGCCCCTCCAACGTCAATGACGCCCCTCCCACGTCCTGCTTGAGCTTCAGACTCTTTAAGGTCGATGGGGCCCTACTCTTCGTCCGACCCTGCTTTCCGTTCCTCCCGTCCTCTGTGATACCGTTTTCTTACAACTATCTTATTCTCAATAAAAAAGTCATCAACAGTCAAAATGGCATCCAACCCTCCCGGACAATGCTGCACCGTCGGTGTCAAGCACGAGTAAGACACCCCCAAGACCCTTTGAGCGACACACTGCCACTGCGTACATAAAGAGCTACCCCGCCACACTCTCCCCCTCCCCCCACTCTCCCAAAGCTTGATTGAGTGAATCCTGCCTGTACCAGCCACCGAGATACCGTTCCAAAGTCCCAAACATCAGCCTTATGGCATGTCTGTCGGCTGATGTGATACGCCAATCTCTCGATTACTCATACACAAGACTTTTCGCTAATCGAGTTCCGAACAACATAGAGGCACCCCTCAGGGCAAGAAGATCACCGTCGCCGGCAAGTATGAGGGCTACCTCGCCGAGGCTCCCGCCGACAAGGCACACAAGAACACCGGCCTTCTCTACGTTGCCGACGTCTTTGGCATCTGGAGCAACTCCCAGCTGCTCGCCGACCAGTTCGCTGCCAATGGCTACACCACCTTGATCGTTGACCTCTTCAACAAGGACCAGCTTTCTGTCCCCATGCCTGCTGGCTTTGACATTATGAAGTGGATCGCCGAGGGCAGCGATGGCAAGAACCCCCATAACAAGGAGGCCATCGACCCCATCATTGTCGATTCTCTCAAGTACATGCAGACCGAGCTCGGTCTCACCAACATTGGTGGTCTCGGCTACTGCTTTGGCGCCAAGGTACGCTTTCTCCCTCTGCCCTCCTCTACGACTTCCACGGGTGCCGGTTTCTGACATAATCACTCGGCAGTACGTTGTCCGCCACTACAAGGACGGCATCAAGGTCGGCTTCGTAGCCCACCCCAGCTTTGTCGACGAGGACGAGCTTGCCGCCATCACAGGCCCCTTCTCCATTGCCGCCGCCGAAACCGACAGCATCTTCCCCGCCGAGAAGCGTCACAAGTCCGAGGAGATTCTGCAAAAGACGGGCCTGGCATACCAGATCAACTTGTACTCTGGCGTCGAGCACGGCTTTGCTGTTCGCTGCGACTTGAGCAAGAAGGTTCAAAAGTACGCCAAGGAGCAGGCCTTCTACCAAGCCGTCGCTTGGTTCGATGAGCACCTTTTGTGACTAAAGGATAACCGTGGGGGAGAAGCCAAGTTATGAATAATGGGCGCCGCAGCTGATACTAGAACGGTGGGCAGTTTTAAGAATACCAGTTGATTATTGCGCTACATCACCTCGTTCCACGCCTGGTTGACAATACTCGTGAACCAGATGTCTCGATCTTCTGAATGCTCTTAAGCTCTTAGTCAACGACGGTATCAAGCTCTCTCGGCCCAATCTCGCTTGATAAAGTCGGCACATCGCTCTGCCACCATGTAAGTTGGTGCTACCGTGTGAGCACTCGTCACCTTTGGGAAAACACTTGCATCAGCAACCCGCAAGTTTCGGAACCCATGGACCTTCAAATCCTGGCCGACTACACCATCATCTTCAACGTTACCCATGCGGCATGTTGAAGTGGCGTGGTAGATGTTGACCAAACGCTCCCTGATGTAGGCATCGATCTGTTCGTCCGTCACATCCCGCCACCCACCTTCGACCGTACCGGCCTTGACTCCGGGGGCGAGATGCCAGGTAGCGTTAAAGGGGTACTCTGTCTGACGGAAGCGCTCTACAAAGTTCATCGAGACACGAGCGGCCTTGCGCGCTGCCGCCCAGTCGCGGGGGTCTGTGATGTAGTGATGGAACACTTTGGGATGTGCCAGAGGATCTGAAGAGGCGAGCTCAATTCTGCCCCTAGAGAATGGCTGTACTAATGTTGTCTGGAATGCGCAGAACCCCTTGCCCTTCTCATAGTCGTACGAAGCATTGGTGAATAGGAGCTCGATATCAGGTACGTTCTCGGGATTTAACGCATCCGTGTTGTCGTGTTTCTCATCGATGTCATTTCCGTGGTGTCTCACGGTCATTGTGGTCTCGTCAATGGTGCTTGTGTGGAACCAAGCACACAATCTGGTCCCAGAAGTCGCCAATAAGCCGGTTTTGAAGAGGAGGAAGAGGATGAAGTGCCAAATTCCAATAAGGGGACTGAACAACCGGAGATACGAGTCGATGAGACGGGTGCGGAAGGCTATGCCGAAAGTTATGTGATCTTGGAGATCAGCACCGACTCCTGGCATATCTCGTATAAGTGGGATGTTGTGTTTTTGAAGATGTTCCTTCGGTCCTATACCGCTGCGTAGAGTCAGCGACAATCGAACGTGTTGGAGGGGCCTCGGAGAAACGATACCTCAACATCAGAAGCTGCGGTGAGAAGTGAGTTCCACAGCAAATGATGACCTCTCTTTTGGCCCTTACGAAGCATTGCCTAGCAGGGCTCTTGTCAAGATGATCCAAAATGTAAACACCCGTCACTTCTGTCCTATCGTCACTCGTCTGAAGCTTTGTGGCCACAACACCAGTGCAGAGTGTGAGTCTGTCCTCTCGCTCATCAACAGTCGACTTGGGAAGGTAAGCTGCCAATGAAGAATGACGATAGCCAAACTTGTCTATCATGATGTCGGTCGTGAAGAGCCCCATGGCTGGGGCATTCGGGTCATTTCCGTCATTCTCGACAGGAAGATTCATGTCGCCTGCGGCTTTTTGGATGCTGTCAGAGGCACAAGTCAGCAAGGGCTTAGGGGAAATGGTCATTACAACATACTATTGGTCTATCGGGAAGTTCAAGGGATTCTGTCGAAGGTAGAGTGGACCTATCCAGAGTGAGTACATGTACAATCTTAAGACGGCGAATTGTATCACGCTGATTACCTTCATGGCCGCGGTAGGGAGCATTGGGATGGCAAGCAGCGTTCTCAATTTTCTTGAAGTATGGCTCGCACTTTTCCCAGCTCCATTCATCATTACCGAGCGCAGCCCACTGGTTGTAGTTACCCGGCGCGCCGCGCGTGAGCATCAGCCCGTTGACTCTGGTGGCGCCACCGAGTGCTTGAGTATTGAAAGTCCGCGTCTTGCACCCAGTCCATCGCTCGTCGGGCTCAGACCAGAATGTCTCAATCTGAGGACCCTTGCCGTCGCTCGCATTCCCAACGATAGGAATACGGTCAAGCCAATTGTCCTTGACCTTGCCTTTGCAAATAACGAGGACGCTGGTGCTCGGGTCTTCGCTAAGTCGGGAGGCGAGGGCACATGCTGCTGTACCGCCTGCGTGATGTCAGCTTTGGGGAACTTGGCTTCCTCGTGAACAACGACACCTACCGCCTACGATGACATAGTCAAAGGTTTTCCCGTCGACGTCAACCGCTTTGCGCTCCGGATAAGAACGAGAAAATAGCCAGGACATGGTCTCCTGACAAAGTGAAGCGTTCTAGAACGATTCGGAACACGACCTGGACTGTACTGACGAACAAGAAATCTCATTCAGACTATCTGCTCTAGGTAGTACTTTAGAGGCGAGGTCGGATGAGGGTTTCTTTCTTGTATTTTCGAAGGATCATCGCTCGTTTTAAAGCCATAGACTAGTCTGACACCAAAGATCAATCGCAATATACAGAAACGCCAGAAAGTGCGATCCCTCCAATCGCTGGCTGATCCTTCACCGGCTAAGGTAACCCAAATCCTTGTGTAAACCTTGGCTTCCATGCTCACACGGGAGTCCCGGGACTTAATGTGGAAAGAAAGAACAAGAAGATATCTAGAGGACAAGGACCTAGGGCCTTTTCATCATGGGCGATAATTCTATGAAAACCCCTCTTCACTTATTTGCGGTCCCCAGTGTACCTCGGATCTGTGTCATCTTCTTAGGCAAGTTGGGCATCGTGTCTCAGCATCAGGTCACCGCCAGCAATACTTTTCATGCCAACCAAATTTCGCATGATGTAGTCTGTAGCACACCAATGTCGACCAACTAATATGAGAGAAAGAGTAAGACCCGTCGGCCTGCCGCAGGAACGGTCAAGAATGCGTGTGAGTCGAATGGTTCACGTTTGTGAGCATTGAAACACGGCTGCTTGTCATCTGTTACTGGAGGCACTCGATGGTGCTCCACTACCCCCACTACCTTATCGCTTATCACTAAGAGCAAGGCACCTAAGTACGGAGTGACCTTAGGTCAGGATGAGTTTGGACCACGGGCTGTTAAGAGGATCAGATGGAAGATTTCATTGACTGTGATCAGACTCGACTGTGGTACTCATGGTACTGGCATTGGCGGGGAAGAGGGACGGAAAACAAGCACTGGAAACGGCGCAGGATTCGTCATTTTCGTGCCTCCCCTATTTTCTTATCCCGGGGCAGGTTGAGGTGCTGTGCTCTTTCCTTGCATTTGCACCGACCTGTGGTTCGAACGACGGCCCGCTCCTAGCCCCAGTAATGGAAGGAAGGCGCAAGACACGAGCTTAGCCACGCTGTTCGCACTCTTCTTAAACGTCTGCACTGCACCGCACTGCACTGCCCCTAAAATGGACGACCTTCAAGCTTCATCAGTCGATGATTTCCCCCTCCCACAACGTCGCCCATCTTCCACGTCAACATACATCGCATCGCCTTGCCTTACATCTGCATCGCCACCAACAACAGCGGAGCCACCACTGTCCCCTTCCCCAGAATCCCGCTGCCTGTTGCACAGCAAAGTAGCGCAATATAAGCCACGAGCTAGCGACTGCTAGGGCTATTGGGCAAGACATGGGGGTCATGCTGACACAGGGGAGGGGTTGGGTTGGCAATGGGGCCGGTATAAGCAGGCAGGCAACAAACCATTCCATGATTGGAGATGGCTGGCGAGACGAGCTGAAGCTGCTACTGGGGCGAGCATTCGCTTCTCAACCCCATGGCATCCCACCCGGACTCTTCTCCCGTTTCCAGGTCGCGGCTGTGCCGCCTTCGCGCGCTAGCTCAACGTGCAGCCTCGTCTGTCTCGTCGAGATTCTTTTTCGACTTCGATTCGACACACGTCACGGCTCCCTTCTGCCGCGTTTCTCCCTCTCCGCTGAGCCCGCTTGTCTGCTACAAACTCGGGTTGCCTCACGCCACCCATGGCTTCCTCCATTCTGACCAAACCTGCCCCCATCACCGACATAGACCGCTCTTGAGCACTCCGATACCACCCATAACCGAGAGCACAAAACCCCGAGCACCCTAAGCTGTGCAGCTCCGAATAGCCAACCCGCAAGGCTCGGTAATCAACGGCAAACAGAAGCCCATAGCGAAACCATTGGACCGGAATAATGGCCATGGAGGGCATGAGCGAAGCACAATTCAACCAGACTCTTCAGCAAATTAACGACAATATCAACGACGATGACAAGGAATTGTTTGTTGCCATTGTCGCTCTCGTCATCTCCATTGTCGCCTTGCTTGCATCCCTCCTGCAGGTCGCACAGCAATATTTCGCATCCGCTGCTGGCTATTCAAGTTGTGGCAGCAAGGTGATAGGGAAATGGTCTGAATCCAAGCAACGCAAAATAAAATTCACCGAGTTCCGATTCGAGGTCCTTTTCGAAGCTCCCGTTATCTTCCTATGCCCTCCAACTAATAAGAAGGGCCCCGTCAAGGACGAGCCCATAATATTCATCGACGGCTCGGAAAAGAGCTTGCTGGACAGCCGGTCAGAACTTCAAGATCAAAAGGATGTTTCCGACAAGGAGCTAGCGAAACAGTCAGTCCACACGGCTGACAATGAGCGAGCTTCGTGGGTGGCGCTGCTCTCTGCCTTGCAAAAAATGGAACACGAGTCCAGGGAATGGCAAGAAAGACAATATACCGAAAAAGTCTACCAAAAGCCACCCAAAGGATCTGACCAGCTCGAGAGCCAGGAGAACGTCACCAGCGTCCTCAAAGAAGTCAGTGACAAGTATACCCTGACGGTCGCCATCCAGAAGAAGCGTAGGAGCTGGGATACGATGCCGACCAACGTCAAGAAGCCATACGCCACAACGACGTGGTGCCATATGGTCGAAATGCTAGCCATGCTCGGCGTTTACTGGGTCGAGTTCAATAGGACCAATGATAGATACCGTGCAGAAGGCAATGGCTACACCATCACTGGGGAGAAGGTTAGTGATCTTGGGATCATGTTCACATTCCAGGTTTATGGACGCAGTCGATTTGAGAACAACCGTGTCATT